GGAAGTCCTGTCTCCTGAGGAGCCACTGGTGGTTTCGAACTGCCGACCTTGAGGAGCACAGCCTAGTGCATAACTACTATACCACCAGCGCTCCACTTGCAGGCCGACTGTGGGAGAACTGCTACCTGTTACATCGCTCTTCTCACGAAAGCACACCTCGCCACGGCATGTCTAGTTTTTTTACCCAGAATTGTGTACAGAGAAGCATTCCTTGGCTTCCCCCAAAATAACCACAAAGCAACTTCTCAACTTATTGTTGTTTCTGAGGCACACACACAAAAACAGCCAAGGGGAAATGATATGAATTATTTACAAGAACCCTTCTTAAAATCCTCCTGCTTTGAAGGGGGACTCCTGTCTTTGCCTGTCACATTCCCAGCCAATTGTATTACTGAGCAATAGAAGGGCGTTTTCTCTGTTTCCTTCAGGGGCTTGATGGGATACAGCAGCTTAGGAGGAGGCCAGAGGGGAAGCACTGAGCACATGCCGCCCTAAAACGTTTGTCCGCCTACCACACTCTTCCTGATCTTTCTCTCACCTGGGTTCTCCTTTCTCTTCTCTCTCTCCCTCTCCTCTTCAAAACCCATCTTCTCTGCTGGTAACTCCCATCAATTCACTCCATCCGACCCTCCCCTCCTACACTGCACAATGCTGTGGGACTTTACAAGCGCAGGCAGAATCCTCCTTGGGCAGGTGCAGGGAAAGAGACTTGGAACATTCAGGTATTACTAGTATAATTTATCTGCCAAACAGATAAAACAATGTGGTAAAGGAAGTGATTCAGTTTTCTACTAAGAATTATGGGAAAACAGAGTAGGGACATCCTAATCTGTCCTTAAAGGATGATCAAGAGTGTATTAGTCTAGGTACTTTAGAGAAACAAATCCACAGCAACTCATGTATAAGAGAGTTTTATGTAAAGAAAGTGTGCATCACGAAAACATCCCAACCCAATGCTGCCCAAGCCCACAAGTCCAACATTAACCCATTAACCCAACACCAGTCCACAAAGTCCTCCACCTCACAAAACAGGCAATGATGCCGACTGCAGGCGGAAAGCTGAGTCAGTGAATGAACAAGCATCTCAGCACTGGCACGGGTCTCCACACGGCTGCTCCAGCACCCAGGGCTGCATCAGGATGGGTCCATGTAGCTTCTCCTTGGGGATGTCTTGTAGGAAGTCAATCTTGCAAGCTGACGCAGGGAACTGCTAAGGCAGCTGCACCCTGGTGTGACCATTACAAAGCAAAGAGACCTGAGAACTAGAAAGGCGAGGCTCACCACCCATTTATCCCTCGGCCTTTCAATTAGCCCCACATGTGATTATCGGCCAGGTTGGCACAATTAACTAACTCAAAGAGCGAGCCAGGAAGAAAGGAGGGGAGGTCACTTTGGGCACAGAGACTGTCCAGATGAAGGAAGGCATCATGATTGAGTGCTCAGCTGCTAACTTTCAAGGTTGGAAGTTTGAAACCACCCTCTTTGGGAGAAAAACCTACTACTCTGCTATAAAAATTATAACCAATCAAACCTATGGGGCAGTTCTGCTCTGTCACATGGGGTAGCCAGGAGTTGGAATCAACAGTAATAGATGAGGAGGCCAGAGGGAAAAGGACTGAGAACACAGATGGGGAATTAGGTCTGAAAATAAGTGCTTAATTCTTTGATATGTTGAGCAGGAAGGAGAAATAGATGAGGAATACCAACAGGAAGACCTGTCTCCTCATCTAGATCAAGCCTACTCAAGGGTGACCAAGGTTAGGCTGCCATATTGAGTCTAGGGTCCGCCCTTCTTGTCATGTTTATCCTTAGTCCCTCCCCTTCCTACACCCTTAGCTCATCCCCTTCCGGTCACGCTTATGCCTATTGTACAACCCCTTCCTGTGACACCTCTTTACCTGTAATTAGAGGGCTTGCTCACGCCCAAAGGCTATATAAGCCTTGGTTAGTACCCTGTTTGCCCGAAAAATAAGACCTACTTAGTTTTGCCTCTCGCTGAAATATAAGGCATTCCCCCCCCACCCAAAAAAAACAAGGCCCCCCCCGAAGCTACTGTAACTCTGGACTCTGGACCGTAGTGGCGGGTGCTGCCGCGCAGCTCACTGTTGGCCACAGTGCAACTGGAGCACACAGGAAGTACGAGGTCTCTTTTAATAAAACAAACAATAAATGTGCACCGTATTCTTCATGGAAAAATAAGACATCCCCTGAAAATAAGACCTAGCGCATCTTTGGGAGCAAAAATTAATGTAAGACACTGTCTTATTTTCAAGGAAACAGGGTAATGAATCTTGCTCTCTCCTGCCTTCTTTGCCTGCGCTGCCCAGGGACCTGGCTGTTGAGAGCATGTCCATCCAGGTGAGCTTGCTACCATGAAATGTGTCTGACTTCTTTATTTTACTCTCTTCCCATTTCTCCATGAGTTTACTATAATCTTTGTATTTCTCAACTGTACAATTTTGATTACTGAACCCATGATTAGCCCCCTCACATAACTACAGGGACTGAAGAACCACACACACACACTCACACAAACGCTAGCTAGTGGAATTTAGGATGGGCGTGTTGGCATGCGCTTGGTTTGAGAGATTTGATTTAGTTCTTCAGCAAAGTTTAATAACTCCAGGGACAGTCAGGAGAGACAGGGAGCGCATGAAGGGATCGTGGAGAACCCCAGCTAGTGGTAGATAGGTTGGAGTTTGCTGAGTGATACGCATAAAGTCTAAGAGGAGCAGAGAGGTGAGGGTAGGCCAAAGGGGGCTGAGGTTCAAAATGGAGCAGGGCTGGGTAATGTGTTACACTCCTGAAGCTCGCATATACAGCCGTGTAAATCGACTGGGATGTGGTGGAAAAGCATAAAAAGCCAGGCAATTGACTACTTCGACCAAGACTTATTGGGATACAAGGCACCAAGTCAGGCTGCCTTCAGGGAGTTTGAGGTCTTAGAAAAATAACCTAAGGCTGGCTGTAGCAAAGCCTACTTTTGTCAAAGGGGCAATGGAGTCACAAAGAAATGGACACAGCCGAGCACAGAAAGTCAACGACAGAGTTAGGGAAAGCATTTGGGAAGGCAGCCTTTCTGGGTGGACACTTAGGATGGGCAGATATCTGAATGATGCTTTTTTTTTTCCTTAACTGGGAGAAAGAGACCTTCTTAGCTCGGGGAACCATTTAAACCAAGTGGCAGATCTAGAATTCCACACTGGGTCAAGGGATGGTGGCGAACCTCTGTGGCTACAGGAGCAATTTGGCCTTTGGGGGGTCCAGCCTCGTTAGGAGGGAGCTGATGGATGGTCTTTCTGTGTTGGGTCAACTCCGTGGCAGCGAGTTTGGTTTTGCGTCAGGTGGAGGGATATGGATTTCACAAAGATAGACCAGGGACCATTTGTGTCTATGTAGTGAGTGGAATGATGTCACCAGCCTTGGGCAACCAAAACAAAAACAAAAAACAAAACCGGGTCAAGAACACAAAGTTAGGTGCTCATCTTATTCAGCTGATAAGAAAGGGGTTTTAATAAGGTTCCTGCTGAAATTCATTGAGGGGAAAGGGCTCCTATTTCCCAGGGCCAACCAAGCAAGGCCTGCTTCCAATTCGATAAACAGAATTTGTTGTTGTTGAAGTCTCCCAACTTAGATCTCTGGGAAACAGACATAAATACTGACACAGGCTTGCTTTTGTTTTCCCAAGAGAGAGCTCCCAGGCGATATCTCTTAATTATCCAGAAAAAAAAAATTAACTTGTTTTTTCCCCTGTAGATTTCAGTCGAGCCGAGGGGCCAACAGCAGCATTGCCTTGGATTCTCCAGCTCTGCTTTGGACGTGACATTGGTCCCCGAGGGCCTCCCTAAGGTCTCGGAGGCAAGGGATCCCGAAAGGCTTCAAGGAGGGAGCGAGGAAGAAAGTAAGAAAAATAAGCACGCTGTGAAGGGCTTATCTGAAAACAGAGACCGACAAAGGACCCGAGGGAGCGCCGTTCTGGACACGAAGCGCCTTTTTCCGTAGGAAAACGAATCGGGCGGGAAGCCGCGTCCACGGCCCTGGTGGGAGTGGGTCTGCACTTGGCACACACTTCCGCCAGGTTCCCGGAGGGGAAGGCTGCAGCTACAGCCCCGCGCGACGCGCAGCCAATCAGAAGCGGCGTAGCGCCGTCTGTCTCAGAGACCGACCAATCCGCGCCCTGGACTTCAGCTCGCCGGCCGGCGCCCCCGTCGTCCGAAAAGGGGGCCCCAGCTCCTGTAAGAGTTGCCAGTAACGGACATGGCCGCGGCCCCCGGAGGAGGGGGCGCGAAGTGAGGAGGGGGCAGGGAGGGGATTGGACCGGGGTGAGGAAGACAAGCCCTCGGGCCCCGGTAAGTACGAGCAGGCCCGTAGTTCCAAAGTCGGGGGGGCAACGGGGCGTGGGGCTCGGCCTTCCGCGTCCTCCGGATCCTGCTCGAGGCGAGGGGGGTCTGGGGTCTGCCTCCAGCGAATGGCCTCGGGGACGCCTAGGGGCCCGGCTCTTACCTGCAGCTCTGGGCCGGGTCCTCGTCCCCAGCCCCTCAGACCCCTGCCCTCGCCCCCGGGCGACCCCCACTCGCAGTCACAGCCTGCCGCCATCAAGGAACCCCTGCGCGCTGGCCCGGGCCCCGAGGGCTCCCAGCGCGGAGGCCCGCGTATTTACAGGTCGCCCGGAGCCCCGTCCCCGGTGGCCGAGGCGGACCGTTGCGTGGCCTCCGCGCGCTCTCGGTGGCGGCCGGGCCGGGCCGGGCCGCGGTGGGCCTCTGGTTCCGCCTCCCCGACCGAGCGGCCCTGCGCCTGCAAGCGTCTGCTGCTGTTGCGACCTCGGCAGAATCGGCTCTGGACTCATTCCTGGGCTCCTCCTTCGGCAGCGCAGTGCCCGCCCGGCGCCATGGGTGCCTGGGTGCCCGGCGCCTGAGGCGCGGGGCTGGGGAGACCCTGCGCGTCTCTCATTGGTGCGAAACCACAGACCGCGCTTTGGCGCCCGCACGGATTCGATCACGTGCTGCAGCGTCCCACCCTCTCTGCCGAGGAGTTCTCAGCTCTGGGGGAAGGAGGAGGAGGAGGCAGCGTTCCCATCCGGTAGGTAACTTTTTGCGCCTTGCAGGGGATGGTAGCTTTCCCATGTTATCCAGGACACTCCGTTTTAGGGACACAGCTCGCTTATTCCCTGGTGTATTCTTAGGGGGTGCACGTGGGGACCTGGACGGGGTTGCTGTTTTTCTCATTTTACACCCCTTTGAAGAGGCAAAGGGGTAGGGTTCCCATCAAGGGGAAACTGAGTCAGGCAGGTCTCAAACTCGCTCTCACCAGTCGATACTGGTTCATCGTGACCCTACAGGACAGGGTAGAACTGCCCCCCCGTGAGTTCCTGAGACTAGAACTCTTTAAGGGAGTAGAGACCCTGGTCTTCTCCCGAGGAGTACCTGGTGGTTTCAAACTGCTGACCTTACGGCTTGCAGCTCGATTCATAACCACCAAGCCAACAGGGCACCTCCTTGAGTGTTTTCCTGGAAGCGATCATGGGAAATCAGGGGCCACAATCCCTCGGAGGAGCCGTTTGCCATGGTTGTAAACATCCAACGAGCTGGTTCGTATCTGATTCTCTGTACGTGGTGTGTGTGTGTGTATGTGTGTGGTGAAATTATACACACCAAAACGTACATTTACAGCCCATTGACATTGATTACATTCTTCGAGATGGGCAACCACCATCAATATATTTCTCAAATACTCCACCAACAGGAACATAAACTCCATGGCCACCAACCCAAAATGTTCCCTCCCCCCATCTTTCTCACCCTGGTAACCGTTAATTACTTAAGTTTCTATGCTGGAATATTGGCTTGTTTTAGATAAACGAGCTCATGTGGCATTTGTCCTTTTGTGACTGACTTCTTTTGGTCAGCATAAGGGTTTCAAGGCCCATCCTTTCGTCGGGGCCTGATTGTTCTTTATGGCTGAGTAAGAACTAACTCTTAAAGAGTTAGTCTCAGGAGCCCTGGTGGCACAGTGGTTACCAATTGGGCCCCAGACTGGAAGAGTAATAGTCTTGGGAAACTCAGGAACAGTTCTAACCCGTCCTGTGGGATCACACAGAGTCGGCATCGACTTGGTGGCAGTGATTTGAGGCAGGACGTTGGCTTGCGCCTTGTATTAATATGTCTGTTTGGGGGGAGGCATATAGTACTGTAATAGTTCTCAGTGTGTTGAGTGGACGGAATAGGGCCATGCCTCTTGCTCCTTTGGGGGCCATCATCGACGTGTAATGAGAGGTGTTGGGTGAAAAAAGTGTGGGGACAGAGAAACCACTGAAGATGCCCTTGAGGTATCTCTTCGTGGTATCCTCAACAGAAGAGCCAATCTTAGTACCCCAAGGGGATGTTTTTGCTTATTTATTGAAAGCAAGGGAAACAAGTTCTTTACCAAAAGAGTCAAATTTAGGTAATCCATGGCATAAGCAAACTTGAAAATCACTGTCAAGTCCAGAACACATCCAAAAGTAGGCTGCCGTTGACCCTGGAAGAGGGGCGAGCATGTTCAACTAAAGCCCCCAAGTAGCCTGCACCTCCTCTTTCAGCTGCCTACCTGGCTTGGCTTCCTTGTTCATTTTCTTTCTGTCCTAACGGCAGATGAGGAAACTGAGGGGTACTGTGGAATCTTCAAAATCACTTCTTTTATTGTTGGCAAAAAACGTGCACAGCGAAACACACAGCAGTTTTTCATGTCCAGTCAATGGCATTGGTTACATTTGTCAAGTTCAGCTGCCCCTTTCCCTCCACTTCCCAACAGCTCTTCCCCCTTGGCCTGGGCTGGCCCCGCAGACGTTTCTTCTGGAACTTTTCCTCACAGATGATTCCTTCCGTCGTGGAGCCCCAGGGTGGAACGTTGACCGCCCTTGAGCCACCCCAGCCCCAGGGCAGGACAGGGGAATGGAGGAAAACAGAAAGCACTTGACATTACTATTTTGAGGAGTTGCTGGGGAGTGCCAGCTCCAAGTGCTGAGAATCGGCCTTTTGAGCAGCTCAACTCCTGCAGGACTGACGGAAATGAAGGTCACAGCCCTTCACTTCCTCCTGCGGCTCCCCCTCGGTCAGTCCCTGGGAGACCGTTTCAACAGGGAAAGCACAGACTGCAAACCAACAACGAAGACCTTATTCCACCTAAGCCCCAGCTGGTGAGTCCAGCGTGAACTTCACCCATAGCGGTTTGAGCCAGAAAGACCTAAAGCCTCTAAATCCATTCCTGGTGTTCCAGAAGATTCCAGGTGGTGATGGGCGCTTCTCCACGGGTAAATGTGTGTACGCATAGATATAGGTATGTGTGTACACATAGCTATAGGTAGTGGTTACAAGTTACAAGTTGAGCTGGTAAGGTCAGCAGTTCGAAACCACCTGGGGAAAAAAAAGGAAGCTTTCTGATTTCCCTAAAGGGAAACAGGGGCTGTTCTACTCTGTCCTAGAGGGTCACTGTGAGTAGGAACCGACTCAATGGCAGTGAGTTTGGAGCTTGGTTCCTATTTTAAAAACTTTTTTTTTTTCCTGAAGCCCGGGTTTGGCCATAGGCCTGGGTTTGTTTAAGGCAGAACAAGTGAACTCCAGAGGGTGGGCCTGGGCTGAAGCAGGAAAGTGGTTCTTTTGAGCAAGCCCACCAGCTGGAATACATGTGGCATGGTGATTAGGGCATTTGAATCATAATTAGCTCTGCCCTTGGCTGCTGGGGCAGAAGTAAACAGTTATCTGTCACGTGGCTTGGCAAGTCGGAAAGGGCCAGATTTAAACTGAGCACTGGATGCCCTCATAAGGCCAGACAAATCTAACGCTGATTGCTCTGGACCTTGCTAGCACTGCAGACAGAAGTGATGGGATTGGTGGAGTATCCAAGGGAAGGAGATCCATTAAGTGCTTATAGGTCCGTTTGGGCAATCAGAAGTCTAGCGGAAATGGTGGTGGTGGTGGTGGTCTGTGCATCGAGTACGTGACTCAGACAGCCTGCGTTACGACAGAATGAAACACTGCACCATAATCAGTGCTGTTGCTGCAGCCACTGTGCCCTTCCAGCTCGTCGAGGGTCTTCCTCGCTTTTGCTGCGTCATGTAGAGTTGCCCCCATAGCATTTCCCTGGCTGTTCATTTCTGTGGAAGGGCACTGCCCTGTCTTCCTACTGCTGGGCAGCTGGGGGTTTTGAACATCTGACCTTTCAGTCAGCAGTGCTTAACTACTGCACCTGTTACCATGCCCTCAAAGACCTAGGGCCCATAGAGATCCATAAAGCTCGTAGCTTAGGAAACCCCATGGGCCTTGGTCACCATATGACCCTGTGCCAGTGTGCTTCCCCATCTGGGGGTCCTGCAAAAGCAGATACCTATACTTCATCTTGGCTGATGGGCATCTTACAAACGTTTTTAATTGCCGTTGGTGGGGTGGGGTGGGGTGGGGTGCTGAATAATTCTGAAAGGGGGGTGGTTGGCCAAATCAATTTGGGAATCTGGGCCAGAGTATAGCCAGAGCCGGGAGGATGGTGTTAAACAGGAAGGACGGCCTCTGGATAATAGTCTGTGCTGCCCTGTCGGAGACGATAGAATGTTTGGTAACGGATTGTGGTAGCAGTTGGACAGTTCTGTTCCGCTCGACACGATTGAACTGTGGAATGGTATGATGTATGAATTAACTCCCACTTAATAAAAAAAAATTGTTCAATAAAAACAAAGCCCATGAAAGCGGAATGCCGCTCCATATTTTCTTTTAAAAAGCCAAAAACAGAACAAAAACCAAACAAACCCCCAAGACCTCTGTGGGGCAGTTTTGCTCTGTCACTTGAGGCCACTGTGAGTTGAAATCGACATACAACAGCAAGAGCAACCACATAATCATATTATCCAAGCACTGCTCACAGTGAGCCCCAGTCTGCCTCCCCTGGTCCCGTCTTTTTTTTTAATCCTCCCGGAATGGATCTGGGCCTGGGCTTTCTCTTACCCGGGTCTGAAGGTGTTTGAAGGCTGACCATAGCACCCATCTGAAGGAACCATGGTGGCACCAGCCTGGGAAGCTCTCAATGCTGATTGAAAGGCCATTGGTTCAAACTCACAAGCCACTCTTAGTTTAGGAGAAAGATGAGGCTAGTCGGCTTCCATAGAGAGTCCAGCCTTGGGGACTCTGGGGCTGTCTGTTCCACCCAGTAGGACCACGGTGAGCTGGAGTTGACTCCTGGGGTTTTGCTGGAGTTTGGGAATCACGCCTTTTAGTTTGTCTGCTGACTAAGCATCTCCAGTTCTGTCTGCCTTGCTCCTGGCACCGTTTCTCCAACCTGCTTGCTGGTCTCTAGAAGCATGCCAGCTTTTTTTTTTTTTTTTAAAAGCATGCCAACTTTTTAAAATTTTTTTAAAGCATGCCAACTTTGTCGGTGACCTTCTTGGAGTGTGCAGTGCAGAACCGAACACAACTGTCCCCTGTGCGTTGATATGTGCAGCAAGCAATCAGACTTAACCCTCTCTTGGTGGGGACATGCAGGCCTGTGGACCTCTGTTGGAATTGGTCGTGGTCTCTGTCCGGTTGTCTGTGAACCTCAGTGCAAGTCCTCATTCTCTCCCCAGTCAAATGGCTCATTCACTGGACCATCATTTCAGGCCGTTGAAATCCTTTCGGGTCTGGACCTTGTTCTCCTTTCCAGCTTGATTAGCATGCCACCTGCCTCCACACCTCACGTGATAAAAATACTGATTCGGAGGAGACCAAAGGTAGTACCTGCACTTCATCTTGGCTATTTTACAAATGTTTTTAGTTGGTGGTCTGAATACTTCTGAAAAGGGGGTGGTAGGAATCTGTGGGCCAGAGTGTAGCAGGAGAGGATGGTGTTACAATAAACAAGAAGGATGGCCTCCTTCTGGCTCTCTGTGAACCTGAGACTTGGGCACCTGCACAGCTTTTTCTGCCTCTGGATCTGGGGGTGGGGGTGGGGGGGACCGGAACCATCTAGTTCTCAAGCCATACGTCCGCTCTTTTGCTACGTACATGTGTCTTGGGAGAAAAATGGGGAAAAAATTAAAGCGGATTATTCAGATAAGGGTGATTTTATTTGTCTGT